AGAATTACCGTTCGCTCTAAATAACAATAGAGAAATCAGTGGAGAAGACCCCGCGGCCCAGCCCGGGTTTACAATTCATATCCTGCTTCTTTCACTACTGAATTGTTTTCACTAGCCGCCCTCCTCGCCGGCACCAGCTTCCCGCACAGCGATTTCACTTGCGCCGCATCGTGTCTCCTCAAGCCAGCCACCGTCGAGTAAGTTTCTCTTCATTCAACATTTCTCTTCCATGATGAAGATATCGCCGATCAGCTTATATATTTTAGATCTAGGGTTTTTGTAAATGCAGAATCAGTTGAGCTTTGTTTCAATTTTATTGAATTTGTAAGTCTTTATAATAATCGGATTTCGTAGAGATTTGGATCTCCGGTGATTTGTACTGGATCGGAATGTCCATAATTCATCTCTGATTTTTCCTTTCGATCTTAATTTCTGTTAGAAATAATGTTCAGGCTTCTGATATGTGCCCAATTGTTTGAAGTTTGAAGTTTGTATGTCAATGTGACAATCTTTGCTTTTGATTGTGGATTGCTCGAAGTTTTAGTTGGTTGTGTTTTGCATGATGTTACATTCTCTTTAAGACTAAACCATTTTGTTTGTTCATGAGTTCTATGCCAGCAGTTTCTTTGCTGTTCTTGGTTATTGCACCAATGCTGGATGTTAAATTTTACCTTGGCAGCCTGCTGATTTAGTTTTATATCTACAGTATGTACTTTATTGAAAAAGTGTTGTATAGTCTGGACCAAATCAGACTGTAAAACAGACTTCATTGGATGTGGGAAGGAGCCCCTAAGTTGTCTGGACTGTTTTTGATTGCACAACTTTAACCATTAGGTGGGGGCAGGCCCTTTGATGTTCGCAGGTCCCTCACCCCTCCAATGGTTCCTCTCTTACAATCTGCCGCAATCTAAACTGTAAAATAGGGAACTTTTGTTTTATACTCTTATATCACATCATGGATGGGGATCCATCTGTTTCATAGCTGTGATGAAATCTATTTTGTTTGTGGATTGCTATATGTCTCTCATCCTTTTTTGAGAGGGGATGGAGTTGGGTTGGTTTGGTAGTGTTCCTTTGTTTGTAGGGTCAGTCCCTTGTGGGTTATATGGAGATTTTATTGCTTTGAGTGCTTGTAGTTTTGGTTTTTTTCTCATTTAAACTCTGATGCGTTTACCATCTAAAAATAAATAACTCCAACTTCTTTCTTATTGAAAAGAATATGTTGAAAGTGAATAAAACTTTGCTTTGCTAAAGAGTAAAGATGGAAAGGAGAGGCAGGGATAACAGTGAGTAAAGTTGGTTACTTTAGATTTTATTTATTTATCTTTAACTTGTGATGCAGGATGTCGGAGCTACCATTTAGACCTCGGGAAAAGCTTTTTGAGCAGCAAAAACATTTTCAAAATGCCCACAAGTATACACACCTGAAAGGGCCGCTTGATAAGATCACCTCTGTGGCCATTCCACTTGCACTGGCTGCAAGTTCAATATATCTAATTGTAAGTCTCGTCTTTTTGCAAACCTCCCATTGAAATTCATATTTGCCTGGAGAAATATCATAATTCTTGCCATGCATCCCAGCGATTGACCCGTTGCTCATCTCCTGCATTATTGTTTCCAGGGACGGGGAATCTATAACATGTCTCATGGGATTGGAAAGAAAGAATGAGCGGGGTATACCTGGCTGCTCACAATTGGAAGACTTGAGTTCCTATGGACATTGACTTTGATATTTTTTCACCTTCAATAAGTTGCTTATGGTTGCAGACTTCTTTTTGTGGCTGCCAAAGGAAGTTTAAATACAGCTTTAATGGGTTATGAATTTGGTATTAGTCATAATTTTTTGAATCTCAGATTCAGCAAACTTTGTTTGATATGATATTCCTCCACTTTTATTTACGGATTTTTTTGGCATTTATAACTAAATCATCAAAGAGCTTAGTGGAAATTATATATTTTATAACCATGATAAAAATGATAAAAGTGAGCATTTTGAAATTAAGGGGCGAATCTCTTATCAATGGCGCTGCCCAAATTTGCATATCACTTTATTTTTATCAAATCATTAATAAACATCGAGAACGGAGTAACAAAGGCACTTGGGCTTCGGTCCAGTGGCTGTAAGTCACGATTAAGTGTATCTGCAGTCACTTTTAAGTGTATCTTTTCGAATAAGACCCCTTACAAAATTATTCAAAAAAAAAGAAAAAAAAAAAAGAACGGAGTAATAAAGAAATCAAAGCATCAGATGTTCTAATAATTATGTTTCAACTTTATATTAAATAATTTTACAAATGTACGAACTACGAAATTTTTTTTCTTTTTATGGAGTACGAACTACAATATAAGACCACCCCTTATGGGCTTCTCATGCAGCCCAATTATTTAAAATCTCGGTAAGCAGTTTTTAACAACAGTGTCCCATCAATTAGAGATTTAGAGGGACACACACATCATCCTCAGAGCCAAGACGCCACACTGAAAGCGTGGTAAATCTAGCGAACGCAAGGCGAATTGGCGGCGCGGAGAGTGTTGGTGTGGTGTGCAATTTTCTCTCTCACTCTGCTTTGATTGCTTCTAATCTCTATTTTTTTTTCCCTCTGGATTGTTCATAATAATATAGAATACATTGAATTTGTTGAAGCTGCAGTTGGAAGAAAAATGCCCAAGGTGAGGACAAATCGAACAAAATACCCAGATGGGTGGGAGTTAATTGAGCCTACTCTTCGGGACCTGGATGCTAAAATGAGAGAAGGTAAGGTTGGTAATTTAGTTTATTTTATTTCCTTTTCTACTGATGCTATATATCATGGCCTGGCCTGCCCATTATACATTTTTGTTTCGTTTTTGCTTTATTTGGCAGCGGAAAATGATCCACATGATGGCAAGAGGAAATGTGAAGCTTTGTGGCCTATTTTCAAGATATCACATCAAAAAAGCCGCTATATTTTCAAAGACAAATGGAATATCTACTGAGTTGTATGAGTTCTGCTTGGATCAAGGCTATGGCGACCGCAACTTAATCGCTAAGTGGAAAAAGGTTCCGAATTGCTTACTTTGATTGTTAGAAAATCCCACATCTAGTATATAATGAATGAAGCTTCTGGGTTAATCCATTGACAATCTGTTTTAGGTTGGATGCAACTCTTGTGTTGAAGCTCACATGCACAATTTTCATAATGTGGATATTTAACTTTCTGATTTAGAATTGTTATGTTTTGCTTTTCCGAATTGCTGTTTAATCCTTTTCTTTTCCTTGCTCTTTTTGAATTATTTTTGCAGTCTGGGTATGAACGTCTCTGTTGTCTACGGTGCATACAGCCAAGGGATCACAACTTTGGGACAACTTGTGTTTGCCGAGTCCCCAATCATTTGAGGGAAGAGAAAGTTGTGGAATGTGTGCATTGCGGATGTAGGGGCTGTGCTAGTGGGGATTGATTGGTTAAGTTTCAGGTACTGTGTTTTCCCTAACCTCTGAGAGTTAAACAGTATATGGAGTTTAGGTAGGCTGGATGCTAGCTACGGTGGTTTCAACTCATCACTTTTATGACATCAACGTTTTGACTTGTGACCACCATGGAATTGAGCTCAAGGATATCTTTTTGAAGAAACCTAGCATTTAGTACCTATGGAATTTGAGAGTAGTTGAGAAACTGATTTATCCAAAAACTCTTGCATGTTGTCAAAGCTAGTGTGTTATAGGTATTAACTTCTAGTTTCAAACCTTTCTAAGATCTATTTTCCTTTAAAACACTAGAGATATATGTTGCCTGACTTGAGTTAGTACACTTGCCTTCTGATTCTTTGCTACTGGGTCCAAGAAGTTAGGCATTGAGGTTACTGGTTAAGTATAAAACTGTTCAAGTGAGATGAATGCCCGCAATAGTGATGCATAGCTATGCATGACAATTATTCTTGTTAACCTTAATGTGTCTGCGATGACTTGTTATCTTGGTCTTAATGGTCATCGCCAGGCTTACCTTTAACTTAGACAGCGACCCCAGTTTTTTAAGTATTGCTGGGTGTAGGATTTTCTTATGAGTTGCAAAACTGATGCACCATCTTTTAGGCTTAATATTCAATAAAAGCTCATTTCCTTGTTTACAGTTTAGGTAATACTTCAATATAATACTAGGATTTGACCAATGCTGTATCATCTGAATCCATTTCAAAAGTCAAGAAAATGATTTGTGCTTATTATTCTGTTAGATGTAATAATTTGATAAATGGAAAGTTGAAATTTTAGGAGTTTACGGCACATGAATTTTGACATATCCTTCCCATAGGGATAGGATTCATAAAGTCATAGATTAGAGAGGTTATGACCCTGACTGGGTTGATAAACACTGAGGCAACCAGCTGGTTTTCCACAGGATATTATTTCTGAAGGATATAACAGTCCACATAAGATCGGAGGTATGGTCACTTAAGTTATATGGACATAGAAGTCAATGGATTTTTTCCATATCAATTTCCCTCTTAGAGAATGAAGAGAAAATTAAATTACCTAACTCCTAGAATTGAGGAGAGGAAACCTCTTTAATTTGTTATTCACTGTGGTCATTAGCACGGCTAAGCAATTAGGAGAAGGGCAAGACACATTATTATGTTTAAGAGTCTCTGATTCTTGCCTGATTTTAAACAAATCTTTGCATTGATCTATATTTATTATGCTTATTTCTTGTGAGATTGCTATAGTTTTAGAAGCACTCTGCAGATTGACTTTTTCAGCTAATGCAATGAGGTCTCTTATAATAAGTTCATAATGTAAACTCCTGATCTGGGTTTCCATGGCAAAAGTCTATAAAGAAGACCTTCTAGATCGTCCAGCTTGCGTTCTACTTGGTTTGATTATTTATTGTTCTATCTAATCTAGAAAGGTGGTGGTAAGATGCTAGGAAACCCTCTTCGTCGACCTTTACCCCCCAAAAACAACTGGATGACATTTAACTAATGAAATTCAGATTTTTGAAGAGGTAAAAGTTAGATTTTGTTAATTTTTAACAAAAATGCAATCTACCTTAATTTGTGCAGATGTTATTTCAGTCTCTGGGTGGGAGGTAGACCCTTCTAAAGGACAGATTTCCTTTTGTTGTTACACCCTGAATCCACTGATTCTCTCTCCTAGAATCAAGACCCTGACTTGATTATTATGTATCATGCAAAAAAAGTTAAAATAGTTAAATTATTTAAAAGATTAGAAATGTGTTGTACAGTCTATATAATATAAGTTCAAATTATATAACTTAAATTGTTGGATATGGTGTAAACTTCCTGAATGTGGGGCTATCCTCTATGCAATAGTTATAGTTATGCAAGCCGGTCTTCAGCACGGCAATGACACTGCCCGGACGGAAGTTTCCCTTTTCTCATGTATTTGTTCCTAAAAGTATTTGAAATTCAAACATGAAATGAAACGTTTAAGAAA